ACTATTTTTTCTTTCTGCAAGAAACTGTTAAGATTCCTATTATGGATGTCTCCATTCGGGGAGATTTCCCTTTACTTCTGTCCAAGAGACAAATTGGGAAGTAAGAGAGAGTCTCTCCAAAGCAAGGGGAATCATCCTCTTAAGTGTCAGATTTACCCGTGCTCACCAGAAACCATATAAAGGGGTTCCAGTGGGAACACAGGCAGCAATAAAATCCTGATAGAAGGTCTAGCCCTTCCACATTCAATCTTAAAGTGTTACTAAACCCACAATAGTAAAGCCTAAGGGGTTATTCTTCCACATTGTGTAAAAAGGATGTTGGATTCTCCTCTCTCGGATTCTCCCCTTCTTCCAGTGTCTCCTAAATATCTCCTGATAGTACAGAGGCTCGGGGTAAGCTGCAAATGCTCAGTTTGGTGTGTATTGCTAGAGAATTTTTTTTTTCTTTTTTTTCTTTGGAGAGTGCATGTGCACAGGGTCAGCACAGGGTCAATCAGCACTCTCCAGAGGTCAGGGGTCCTGCATCCGCCTACAGGAGAATGAAAACTCCTCCTATAAGCTGTAACCAGTGCTTTGCTGGACACTGATAGAAGTCACAAGACTGCTTAACTGCTGATGAGAAAAGGTATTTAGCAGTTTACATTTACTAAAATAATTGCATTTCCATGTTCTGTGTACTGTGGGAGACAAGGTATAGTGAATGCAGGGTCCGGGGTTTAGTAACACTTTAAACTAAAAAGAGAAAACTTTCAGCTTTACATGCACCTAAAGCCCAACACCAGTAGTTTTGGAAAAAGTGAGGAAGAGTTATAAATTCTCTCCAGTTTTAAATGCAGTTTGTACCCACATTCTTTTTTTTTTTTTTTTTTTTTTTTTTTTTTTTTTTTTTTTTTGTGTGATCAGAGCATGATGTCAAATCCACCCACAACAATAAAAACCTTTCAAATTTTTAAATAATTTAAAAAGATTGGAGAACAAAAGGGAATATCTTAAACATTTGCTGCTATTTGTGATGTACATTTCCTAGAGCAACATTTTAAAATTCCCATCCCCAAGTGTGACTGTCTTGATTGCACCAAAATCATTTGTGTTGCATAGCAAACTCCTATGTATAACTCATTGACATATCTTACAGAAGAGGAACTTCAAAGAGTATTAATTAGAAATGTGTACCAGTGATTGCTAAATGTCAAAATTACACAAATGCACAACTACTCCGTCTTACAATGCTTACCTATAAATGTCTTCCTTATACTAACAAATCTGTTTTTTAAGGCTCACTTGCTTTGTATGTGACTACCAATGCTATAAATAATGTCCATTCTTCACCTTATTTCTTCTTTTGACATTCTGGAATACTGTAGGATTGTGATGCAGTGTTTTTTTATTTTTTTTATTTCGTAAATTTTGCTGACACAGACTAGCCAATGTGCAGAATACATGACTCATGTCATCTTAATGGGTCATGAACCCACAGAAGGAGTCATCAGGTTTCTGCTCTGAATGCTGGTGACTACTCTAGGAACTAAGAATGTACCTGACAATAAAATGCTTCTCTGGCTTATAAAAAGCAGACGACAAAATGTTTTATTTCTTTTACTCCATCTTTTAAAAATCATGTCTGCTCCTTTCCTTTCAGATTTTTTAAAAATATGCTGAACCTTCACCATTAATGTCATAAATGATTGTACATTTCTAGCATTCTAACATTGATTACATCTGAATTATCTCTGTGGAAACAAGTGAACAAATACAAAGAAAAATGTACTAATATACATGTCAGGGTAAAGAAATATGCTGAGCAAAGCCATGTGTCATCAAATACTGATTTATGGGAAAACTGTACCGACCATTATATGTAGATAACCATTGGAGACTTCCTTTAAAAAAAAAAAAAAAAAAAAAAAAAAAAAACTACCTGCCTGGCTACCTCCTAGCTTCAATGCTTTGGAAGCACCTGAGGCAGAGACATGCAGAACATACATCCTGACTTCACTATGACTTCTTTTCCTGCGTGCTGGTTCTGGGTAACTGACTAATAGCATTGAAGTCACTGACAGCCAGGTAAATGGTATTTATAGGTTATCAGCTGTGGCGGGCTCCATATTACTCCCAGAACAGATTCTCTTGGAATTTCATAAGTAATGAAACTGACCATTTGGAAATGTATCAATCTAATCAAGCTACAGTAAAGAACGGCTTCTACTTGTGTAACAACGAGGTTGCTTTACCAAAGTTGTAGAGCATGATTACTTTGCAAAATGAATTTTCACTTCGCTTATAAAATCGCTTTTCAAGGAATTCACATGCTGGAAGGGGGGGCTTGGCTTGCTTAGGATTGGAAAATTGAATTGGGCATAGTGTCAACTCATTCAAGGAATGCTCATTCACATGCTGGAAGGGGGGGGGGCTTTGCTTGCATAGGATTGGAAAATTGAATTGGGCATAGTTTCACATCATTCAAGGTATGCTCATTCACATGCAAGAAAGGGGGGGGCGCTTTGCTTGCATTGGATTGGAAAATTGAATTGGGCTTAGTTTCACCTTATTAACTGAGCTAAATTCACTTTGCAAAACAGACCTATTTAGAACCTATTTAATAAATCAACTCCAATGTATTAGGACTTCTGCAATAATCCTAGGATCCTGTAGGTGATGTGTCCACATAAAAATTACAGCTGTTCCATTGTTTAAAGGTTTAGCCTTTTTCATGTTATCAATGAAAGCACATTCTCAGTGGCTCTTTAAGCTTACCTGTTGGTTCCTTAATTGGAAGACAAGGTTTTTGAATTCTGCATGGGTTTGTCTATACCTTTTTATATTTCTGCACAATGGCTTCAGAAATATGGTGATGGGAGCTGATGTAAGCCTAACCTTGCCAGCCCCATTGTGGATGGTCTTGTGTTAAACAGTGTGGGTTCCATCCTTGGGTACATGGAGTGCTGATGTTTCTACAGCCTCTTGAGAACCGCTCCAATAGTCTCTATATTTATTTTTGTGTGATGCAACTATGGTTGTGAAAGCCTATAGAAATCACTGGGAGGCTGGAGCTTCAAAAAAAAAAAAAAAAAAAAAATGACCTCCTTCTGAAAATTGTTACATGGCATTTATGCTTCTACCTTCATAACTGTGAGTCGCTGATCTAGAACAAGTAGATAATACAAAAGAGAAAACTCAGACGTCCTTGCCTGCATTCTTAGCAGAAGTATTGAAGTAAAGAAGGTGGCATAGCAGCCAGGAAACTGAGATTTTCAGAGATTAGGCCAGCAATGGTTCTCTCAGTTTCCCTCATGATGGGTTTATCTAACAGCTGATTGTCAGGTGATTGGGGTGGGGGCCCTTGCTGGTTAACACCGGTTCCTCCATTAAGGGGTTTCTCACTTTGAAGCTGTGATTGTAGACCTCTTTAAAGGTTTAGGCACTGAGCAGTTAATGCTGATCCCAGGCTAACTCACCTAGAAGATGCAAGTTTGGGTTAGAATAATATTTAATATGTCTAAACATAAGATGAAGCTATAAGGGTCACAATAACAAGGTATATGGATGTGGTATGTTTTCAATCCATTGGTCATTGACAGAGATTTTTTTTGGGGGGTATGTTATATTGAGACTCTGAGATTGAAAATCAGGCATCCACTCAAAACTATAGGTTTTTTTTGGGTGGATGGGCAGGCTGAATGTAATCTGATGGTTATTGCAGCCACCATGGCAAACCTATGAATTTCCTTTATTTTTCCCTGGGGCACTATTTAGTATTCAGTGTCAGATGCATTAAAGTGAACTTGTTCTCAAATGCTAACAAAAAGTGCATTATTAACTGCCTTTCTTGGGTGGATAAATGAGGAGTAATACAAGCACTGAAATGTTTACCTTTCCTGGAGAACATGCTGCACCAGGCCTCTTCCAGTGCTGGCCAGATCTATGAAGACCTGGTCACTTTTCCAGGTGATTTCTGGTGGAAAAGATCAGCCAGTGTGGCTGAATGGTTTCTGTAACAATGTTTTTCTTTAAGGCAGTTAGTGATATGAAGGCTGCATTCACACCTAAGTGTTTTGTAGCTTGATACTTGAAGCTACAAAGTGCTCAAACTTAAAATAAACAATTGTTCTCTATAGTACCTGTTAACTCCTGAGTGCACAAATGCCTGTACGAAAATAAGTTCTGGAGCTTCTTTTGTCGTTCAAATCCCCTGTTATTTGCACCAAATCCAATCTGGATGGTTTTAGACAGAATAGTTCTTGAAAAATGAGGTTGTGTTTTAACGTCCCTTAAGTTTGCAACTGAAACCTAAAATAGCAGATACATATGGTTAACCTACCTGAATGGACAACAATCAACCAGTTCTAAAGATTAGGTGATGGACAGTTGTTTAGCTGGCATTTCATTTCAATCCTGGCTGGAACGCCAGCTAAACAGCAAGTACACAGATTAAATATAGTTACATCATTATTCACTGTTGCGGCTTTGTAACCTCCTGTGGCACCTGTCCATCACCGGCCTGCTCCTTCGATGAAAAATTGTCTCAAGGGTGAACTTCTCTCTGCATGCTCCCTATCCTCAAAGCCAACAAAATGGATCAAATGGTTTCTTGCCTGGAGCTCCATTCGTGAATTATATAATTTTGTATGTCTGTGGCTACCCTTAGATCAGAGAATGGATCCACTAGGCTGTCATCCTTCATAAAAAAAAAAAAAAAAAAAAAGACCAAAAAGATTGGCTGTATAGGATTGCTCTGTACTATGATAATGGATACAGGGGATGTTTGTAAGTGTATTGATTTACCTTATTAGGTGATACAACCACACACATAATTGTACACATTTTTCAAAAAGGTTTGTGGGTAGATATGTGCTATTGCTAGTCTGGTACTTTACTTACCAGATTCTATTGACATTATTCAAAGGAGCTTATATAAGCTGTTATGGTGGTTTTGCTACACAGCACTACGTTGTATTCTCTATCTGAACAAATATTCATGCCCTGTTAACCTTTTGTTTTAGGATGGCACTGGATCTTTAAAACGCAGCGGGTCCTTTAGCAAACTCCGCGCTTCCATAAGACGCAGCAGTGAGAAGCTGGTCAGGAAGCTGAAAGGAGGCAGTTCACGAGATGGTGAACCAAAGAATCCTGGGTAATTATCCATTTCTAGGAGGGCCACTGGTGTCCCAGCTTGTGCTTCCTGTAGCTTAGCATTGTGGTGAAGTAGTCTATTTCCTAAGACTGTGTTATGTGACATAAGAGGGATCACAAAGCAGAAGGAAAAGTTAAAGAATATTCTTAAAACTGTTAACTTGTATATTTATACCACTACAGCTAAGAATGGTCAGTTCGTTATATATACTACTGTCACTCAATATATTTAGCATGGCAGCATTGAATTCTGAAAGCACAACTCCCTGATTGTAATTAAGAAGTGTTACAAATAGTATTTATTACTTGTTTTCTAATGATATCTAGTGGAAACTGCAGACAGAGATGTCTGTGAAATGCAACCAAATCTATGGATTATCATATCTGGGTTTACGAAAAGACCTGAAAAGAGCGTTTCAGAGGCTCAGCTGTGCCTGCATTTTCCTAATTGGGGGGGGTTCTCTTTGATTTCCATTTATAGGGTGGGGTGCATTTCGAATTCTTCATTGGATGCTCTAAGGAATATGACCGCTAATAAATATTATTTATATAACATTTTTCTTAATGTATAAAATGTGACCACTTGAGTTTCGGTGCTTTCAGGTATTTAGGCTTGAAGTTAGTTGCTGAAAGGACTGCAATTCCCTCAAAGCAAATATTGTAGATCAACATGGCATGTACATTTTCGAAGATCTTTGAGAATATATTTTTTTGTACGTAGTAAACTGATTTGTATATTGGATTCTTAAATGACTTTTATGAAAGATTATAATCTGATTAGGAACTGCCATAGCAGCTTAAAATTTAGAGTTGAACACTAATGCTGGTTCATTAGAAATGACTTACTGAGGTGTATTGCAGAGATCCTTAGGACCTATTGGTACATATGATTGGGGACATACAGTGGATTTCTGCATCTGAAATCACAGATGCATGCAAACAGCTGTGATCATTCAGCCTGTACAAAGGAATGGAAGCAGCTGCACCTGTCTACATTTATTTGCACATGGAGCAATTAGCTGCGGTTAGGGACAGCTGATTGTCCCTTGAGTAGCTGTGCTTACTATAGTGACTTTCAACTTTTGTGGGGATCCCACGGGTATACCACATATTTACATTGGTCCCACGCTGGACCAATGTAACTATATAAAAATTGCCATATCTGGAAAGCAGGTTTAAATCAAACATTCATGTACTGTAATCTATCAATGTTTTCACACTAATGACCATGCGGAAAACCCTTAAGGTCATGTGGAGTATGCAATCAATATCTAAAGATTTATTATCGCTGCATTGATGCTACGTTTATGTTACAGCTGCGTGATGTCACTGCTGTGCCTCTCCACCTTGCCCAATCGGACAGTGCTTTGCATTCATTCAGAAAATGCAAAGCATTCTCTGAATGGCACCCGTGCTGAGCAGCTGACCTCTGTATTCAGAATGCATCAGGCCCAACCGTTCAGAACAGGACCTGGAAGCAAGTGAAGGTCACTGGGGGAGCGGGGTCTACTTTAGTGATTTCCAGTTCCCAGGGGCAAATGTTCTGGTTGAAATTCAGCCTATTTTGGTAAAAAATAAAAAAGTAGAAAACCTCTTAGCTGTTTTTATAAGCAACAAGCTCTCACCCACCCCCTAGGACCACCAGTACTCATTTATTACAATCCCACTGGCAGAACCAGATTGCTGCAGCTGGCTCTTTTCTTCTGCTCCAGGGCTTCATTGTTTTCTGTGGGTTTCTAAAGTAGAATCTGTTTCAATTGTTTGATGCTTTGCAAAGGAACTGATCCTATGAGATGTATTTTCTCATGTGCTGATCAGGATCAGAAATATCTACATACATATTCTGGCTTACTTCTCAGGTTATTGAAGCCAGGAGTCAGGAAGGGGTAGAATTAAAGGCAGGTAAAAAGCATTTGCAGAATGATAATCATCAATGGCAGTATCCTCGTTGTCTCAGAAAAGGTTTCATTAAAAGTGCAACTGAGCTTTCACTTTAAATACATTTTAGGGGCAGCATAATAAACATTTTAGTTTTTTTTTTCTTCAGGGCTCACTTACACTTGCTTTTACTTCAACAAACATTAAAGTATTTACCGCTCCTTTTTTTTGTGTGTGTTTTTGATGCTTCGGTGATGCTTTTTTGAAGCTTTAATGGAGCTTGGCAGATGCCCTTTGTGTATGTTGAACCCTGGCTCAGTAGTACCCACACTCAGCAGATCCTCAGCTCCTTAGTACCCCTGTTCATCATTGGTAGCCCCATTCTCCAGATCCTTGGCTTATTAGTATCCTCATTCAGCAGATCCCTGCCTTATTAGTATTCTCATTCAGCAGATCCCCTGCTCAGTAGTACCCCCACTCAGCAGATCCCCTGCTCAGTAGTACCCCCACTCAGCAGATCCCCTGCTCAGTAGTACCCCCACTCAGCAGATCCCCTGCTCAGTAGTACCCCCACTCAGCAGATCCCCTGCTCAGTAGTACCCCTCACTCAGCAGATCCCCTGCTCAGTAGTGCACCCAGCTCTGTTGATACCCCACTCAGTTGTACATCCAGCTTTGCTAATCCCCGACTCAGTAGTAACGCCCTGCTCTGTGATCCTCCTGGTTTGTTGTTTCTCTCTCTGGTTCCAGCTCACCTCCCTCTATATTGGTCCCAAGATCCACACCACATGTGACATTGCTAGTTTCTCCTGCTCTTGTTCCCCAGCTCTGCTGATTTCTTCGCCGCTCAATCTTCTCTCTAGTCCCCGCTCACCTTTCGTTGTAGCATTCCCATGTTGCACACCATGTGTGATGTCTCCTAGTTGCTCCACTCCAGTCTGGACTCCGATCCCCTTCCTGTTGCTCCACGCTACACACCAGATGGAACGCCTACACCAGACGCTTCCATATATACACAGGAAGTGACTGCTGATGACTTCTTTCTGGTTCACTTGTAGGTCTCCCAGTGCATGCTGGAATATCTCATACCTGTTCCAAAACAAAGTAAAGCTAAAGGTGCAGGTGCTGTAAGTGAGCTTTGTCATAGACTTCTGTTTAGGCTTTGAAGCACCATGAAACTGACATGGGGTATAATTTTTCAAGTGAATCAAAGCAAACACAGCATGTGAACTGCACTGTTATTTAATGACAGGGGTTTTGATTGGCTTTCAGAGTGCTTTAAAAAAAAAAGAATGTCCAATGCCACATTTTGAAGCAAGTGTAAACGAGCCCTTAGAAAGTAGGTGCTACATGAGTAGAAAGCCTCTCCCCTGTCAGCAGATTGGAAAGAAGGACCGTTGCTCTCTGTGTGCAAGTAGTGGTCTTTCTGCTGAGGCCTGACATGGCCCCTACGAGATCACATATAGAGCTCTCTATAATCAACAGGAATAATACGCTTTGCTAATTGCAGAGCAAGGGGGGGTTTGTTTGACCTGAGCACAGAGATCACTGCTTTCACACAGAGAGCAAATCACTACAACATGTTGGCAGGTGATTTTTTTTATTTTATTTTTTTTCTTTTTAACTGGGGCTGATGCTATTTTCTGAAGAAAACAAACTGTAGGACTTTGCACAACGTTTGTTTTGATGTGTCAGGGATCTATTCAGTTGACATAATCTGAAAGTTCATCTGTGCTGTAAAAGGGAATAATAATCTGTTTTGTTACAAAAGTGAGCTACTCTGCAAGAGGGAAATGGGTAAATTAATTCTGCATTTAAAAGTCACTCTGTAGAACAAATATTTTACTATGATTAACTATTTGCTGGACAAAATGAAGAGAAATTTTCATGAAAACTTCCATTCTTTTTATGGATCTTTTGTTAAATGTTGATGAATAAATGTCCTATGTTTTACCACAATTTACGTTTTTTTGTTTTTGACTTTTAATTTTTTTTTTTTTGTTACAAAAGTATGTTTTGATTAATGTTATTTCTGCCAGGTCGAATGTGTCTGTTCTAATGATTGTACACACAGGCCATCAGTATGCGTGATCCTTACTCTCATTCCCGCTGTTGATGTGAATTTGTGCTATGTGTATGTTCTGCCTGCTTCCAGCTAATGATTAACCAGATCACGGGCTGCATATATATATGGATAGCAAATCCTGGCCTTTGTGCTCACCTGCTGTGCCGTATTTGCCAAGGATAGACACAGATGTTAGACGATGCTTGTCCAATGAGAACTCCTCATGCCTTCTTACTATAGCTAGACGTGCATGTGCTGCCCTCGTATGCTTTGTTTGGTGCATTTAGCCTTTGATTTGGAGATATTAAAGAAGCTTTCTAGCTAGTTCCCTTTTCAGACATCTTCCACTTGTGCCAGCCAAAGCATGTGTTCATTGTTTAACTCCATAGAATTTTAATGGGTTATTTCTGCTCTCAGGAAACCTTTCATGAGAGAAACATGGAAGATGTCATTGCTGTGCCCTTCCTCTAAAAAAAAAAAAAATTGACATGCTGGCCCTCTTGCAACAAGTAGACACATAAGGGAGTTTAACTTTTCTTTTTTCATCTTTTACATGAATATATATTAAAAATAAAAAGACACATTAAAAAAAACCGCTAAATATTTAAAACTTAATTATGTGTGGGTTGAGGTCAACGCCAGCTCTATGCCTTCTTTTCTTGCATAGAACCTCCCTAGCAATTTGTCTAGGCACAGCTAGCTGCAGAATCAAGCCCAGACATTTTAACATTTAATTCAGAGTCTGATACAGAGTCAAGTGATTATTAAATGAAAGACTAGTATAAAAAAAAGGCAGCGCACTAAGGTTCCGTAAACAAAACCATTCGGAGTTTTATGATTACATGTGCATACAGGGATAATCCATCTCCAGTTCAAAAAGAAGCTCATGAGAAGATAAAAAAAACTTTTTTCAACAGTCAATAATAATGAAAACACCTTAGTGCAATCAAGAGAATTGATGACAAGCACTATGATGTATAGATGGAAGTACCTGGTTCCACCAAGCCTTAGCAGCACAATGTATATAACCCCGGGGTCTGACAAAGAAGTGATTGATTTTTGCTTTGAAATGCATTATCCTTTGGGAGAGAAGGTACCTGGCCCCCTACAGCCTCCGTTCCCACTACCGAGACCATCACCTGCATCACCTCTGGTTTGTGACTTGGCCACTGATTTCACATCTGGTGTCTTCTGTGTACATAGTGTGGCCATCGTCCTGGTGGGTGTCCGGCCACTGCATCACTAACCTCAGAACGGTGTTTCCCTTCCTCTCTGGAATATTCCTGGTCTTCTGGCCATTTTACGGCTACATGGATGGGTATGTGTACCGGCTAATACCAGCCTCTATATCACACCAGGAACTGTTGTATGCATTGTGCTACTAAGGCTTGGTGGAACCAGGAACTTCTGTCTATACATCCTAGTGCCTGTCAATAATTCTCTTGATTGCACGAGCAGTTGTGATTGTTATTGACTCTGTTTAACTCTGTTCACATTAGTGCGGTTTTGCGGGACATGGCACAACAGTCCATTCATTTGATCAAAGCGCGCGGGTGGGGTGTCATTAAGATTACTTGCTCCTGCCCGTGGGTCCTGTGTTTTGTGTTTGGGTGGTTGCAGCTGCGAGACGAAGCGTGGGTTCCGCAGCGGCTTCCACCTGCACTAGTGCCAAAGCTAAAGAAACGTTATTTTATCTGTTCATGATCTTTTGGACTGGAGATGGATTATCCCTGTACGCACAAGTAACCATAAAATGCTGAATGGTTTTGTTCACAGAACTTTAGTGCACTTTTTTTTATTTTATACTAGTCTTTCCATATACTCCAGTGGATTGCTAGCAGCTCGGTGTTGGCGTAATCTTCACTTGCTAAAGTGCTAGTGCCTGGCACCTATGTTTTTTGTTTTCTTAACTATTCTGTTGTGAGGAAACCATTTATACACTCCTTTTCTATCACTAGGCATTTGTCATATTCAGCAAGGACTTCTGGTTGGTCAAGCCATTTCCTAACTGCTGCTCAACATCTAATGTCTATGGCACGGTTTGTGAGCCCAGGGAGTAGTGGATGAGAACCCAGTGCCCTTCACCAAATTAATATTTGTCAATTTTCTATTGCTTTTTATGTTGTGATGTCTACTGATTGCTTTAAATTTGGTTGAATGTTCAGGAAAATCAAAATCTGCCAGCTAGTTTGAAAAGACCTAAAGAATAGTAGGGAGTTGTAGAGCTGACTGGTGTATTGCCTGTTACTTCAGATGAACTTGACTATGGTAATGTGGAAGCCGCCATAATTGAATTGATTTTAAAGGTGAGGGCTGCAGGATGGTTATCATAGTGCTGTCTTAACTAATTAGTGGATTGTTGTCCTGGAAAAAACATTCAGGATGGAAGTTCAAACTTTCTAGAATCCTCTGGTTGTGTGCTTGTTTTAAATCATTTAGTCATTCAGTAGTGAAGCCTAAATCAGGATGACAACCCTGGAGCCTACACTTTTAAAAACAAGTCGGCAATACATGCTCTCATTTCTATTCTTACAGATTTACTTTTTATAATGAACACTCATAATCGGTGGTGCTGATTGCTCTGAAGATGGCTATGCTTAACAATATGTCTACTCAAAATTGATATATTGTTGGATGGGTTTCATGAGATTTTATGTCAAAGATCAGATATTCGTAACCCATTGCAGCCATTCAGAATTCATCTACAGTAGACTGCCATCTTGTAAGCCAATGTAATGTCATGGGATTCTAGTGTATCCATAGGCTGGATACTAGATCAGCCTGCTGGTAAGAGCTAGGACATTTTCAAGGTCTATGCTAGCCCAGAATTCTGTGGCATCCAAATAAAGCGTAATAATTCTGCTAAAAAGGTCGGAGCATAATGTGAACATTTCAGTTGAATCCATGTACTGTGTGATCTTCATTCGGTGAACTGAAATTACGGAGATGTAGTGAGTCTAAACTGTAAACACATTAATCTGCTCTTCATTGCCCAAAAAGTCTAAATACCTTTTAAGAGGACATTCATTTGCAGTCAAAATGATGAGTGTATAGCAATTCATAGATCACCATTGTGAGAGTTGTCATTGCTTTTGAGCATTGTGTCCCACCGTCATCTCTACAGCTCCTTAAGTATGCAGTCAGTCTAGGATAGATGCATAAAGTGGACTTGTCACCATAAAAAAATAATTGAAAAGTCTACTCAAAGCTGACAGTTGATTTATGAGCAAAGTCTTAAATGAATAGAAGAGGCTGATTGATGATTCTATTTAACAGTTAACTTCCAAAATTGTTTTGGGTGGAGTATATTTTTCCCTAAACTAACAGACTTTTGTCTATTATCTTTTGCTGAATGGCCCAGTGGAGATTTTTTTAATATTAAACTAGAGATGGTCCCTACAATATTGGCAAAGGAAATTCAAACCTTCGTTACAAAATAGGTTTCCATTAAAGATTTAGGCTTGACAAGTCCACTTTATTGTTGATGGAATATTGCTGTTTTCATGATTAACACCCATTCTACTGGAAAGTTGCAAATTCTTCGGAGACCAGCACTGATGGAACAGAACTGTGCATAGGAGAAGGAGTATGTCTTGTATTGATTGCTTTGATTCTCATTGGTTGGTTTGTCCTTGCATGTCCACTGTCCTGGTTGCAGCATGAAGCGTGCCAGTTCTCTGAATGTTCTTAACACGGGCGGCAAGGCTGCTGAGGACCATATGCAAGTAAGACGCCCCATCATGTTCTTACATCTTCATTTAGTACTAGTATGTGTGTAGCAATGTAGACATCGCTGTATTAGTCAAAGGACAGGGATGAAGTCAGTGCCAATTTCTCATACAGTGAAACAGTTGTATGGAGTAGAAAGGGTTAGAAATGGAAATTTTGCACATTTATATGCATAATTTACGACATGTATACAGTTAACTATTTTTAAAGCTAAACTGCAGGCACAAAAACTAAATATATTAATGTAAATTAATTGTGTGCACACAAAATAGTTAACCTGTTCCTGCTGGCTGTATATATATATATATATATATATATATATATATATATATATGCTGCCTCTTGCTGGGTGAGCTTTAACGCCTAGAGGCTGAATATATGCATCCCTATGTAAACATTTTCTTGTGCTGCAATCGTGTGCCCTGAGCTCTATCAGCGCAGTTACTGGCAGATACCGGAAAGCTCCCAATGCATACTTGCAATCGGGAGCTTTTTGAGCATGTGACCTCTGGCTGCCAATCACAGCGGTCATATGATTGGAATGCCCACCTCCACTTACCAACAACTTACCAACATTTAGAACCTTTTAAAGGGCCAGGAGGTGGCAGCGTGAAGGGGTTTAAAAAAAAAAAACAAACCCCATACATTATATTTTATTTAAATTAGCACGACACAGCTGTATATTCTGAAGTACTTTGCTTATAGTTTATTAAACCTTAACTCCAGGCTCAAAAAATGTTTACATAGTTTCCTCAAAAAACTGACATGACATAAATTCAGTTTATATACACCAAATATGTGGGAGGGGCTCATCCTCTACAGGCTGCCTGCAGAAAACTAGAGGGGTGGATACAAGACCAGTCACCCTGCACAAGAAGAGAGAGCAGCAGTGACTGGTCTTTATCACAGGAACTTCCTGTGCAGAAGTTCTTTTAAGCTGGATAACAGCACAGATCTGTGCAAAATACACAAAGAACACCAAACTTCAATTAAGAATACACATGGCTGTTTTTAGGGCAGATTTGTGTGGCATCAACTTGAAAGTGTTAGTTCGCCTTTTGTCAAATCCATATGCATTACAGCTTTGTCTGTACATTTACCACTTCAATACTGGGCACTTTTACCCCCTTCCTGCCCAGGCCAATTTTGAGCTTTCAGCGCTGTCAAACTTTGAATGACAATTGCGCGGTCATGCAACACTGTACCCAAACTAAATTTTTATAATTTTGTTCACACACCTAGAGCTTTCTTTTGGTGGTATTTAATCGCCACTGGGGTTTTTATTTTTTTGCTAAATAAAGACCAAACATTTTGAAAAAAAAAACATGTTTTTTTCTTTTTTTCTGTAATAAAACTGCAAATAATTGTATTTCATAAATTTAGGCCAATTTAGCACCAACAACCATGTCATGTTCAAAGTTACTTAAATCCCCTTTCTTCCCCATTCTGATGCTCGGTTTGAACTTCAAGTCGTCTTCACCACATCTGGATGCCTAAATGCATTGAGTTGCTACCTTGTGATTGGCTGATTAGCAATGTGTCACCAAGCAATATTACAGGTGTACCCAATAAAGTGTCCTGTGAGTGTATATCTGAAAATCAATCAATCCTGATGTACCGACGGCAGATCTCATTTTTTGAGGCCCAAAAATACCAGGACAGTACAGATATCCCCCAAATTCCCTTTTTTGGAAAGTAGACAGTCCAAGGTATTTAGCAAGAGGCATGGCAAGTTGTTTTTTTTTTTTTTTTTTAATTGAACTTGTAATTTTTTTTTTTTTTTATAACATACTTTCACCAGTGCAGTACAACATCATGCTATAACTGGTGTGGCGGTGATCAGGGACACTGACTGCTGACAGTACAAAATTTAAAAAAGTAATACTTTTTGCTTCTCTGGGGGATTTTTTTTTTTCTTTTTTACACATTATGATTGCTTATAGCAATACATTATAAGCAGTATTTTTTTATGTATAACAGTATTTATTACCCATTTTGTTGCCATAAGCTTGTAAAGTCTCTTAAAGCCAAACTCCAGGTTTAAAGCTGGTTCAAATTTATTATTTCTTTACGAAAAGATGCACATGCTGTCAGTGCTGTTTTAACTGTATGGAGCATCAGTTACATACAGTGTACAGCCCTGTGTTCTGGCAGCAATACAGGGATTTACTGTCCCGTTCCCGGAACAGAAATAAGTCAGCCTGAGCTCTGCTTAGACATTCACAGGAAACAAATACATTTTTTATTAATACAAAACTTCCTCTAACTGAGGTGTAGATTGTGATGTCATCTGTCCCTCCACCTCAGCCAATCAGAGGAAGCCTTGCATTTATTTATTAAACACAAAGCTTCCTGTAATTGGCTGAGTAGAGTTTAGCTCAGCTTGATTTTGTTCTGGGCATGGGACAGGAAATCCTCGTATTAATACATTGTGCATACTAAGTAATGTTATGGCCGAACTCTGAGATAAGCAAATATTTTCTAAATACAAGAGTTATGTGCCTTCTTGAATCTTGGTGTGCTTTGTTTATGTTTTCCAGACCTGTGCAGTAATCAGTGTAAAATTCCCCTTTGTGCAGGATCTTCCTGTAATCAAGACCAGTCACTGCTGCTCTCTGTCTTTGTGCAGGGAGATTGGTCTTGTGTCCACCCCCCCCCCCCCCCCCGTAGTTTCCTTCTGGCAGCCTATAGGGGGAGGCTCTGCCAAGTCCCTCCCACAAATATGCTCAGGCTATGTACAGCACAGTGATGATGTCATCACTACTTTTACAAGCTAACATGCACAAAGGCCAGGTACAAGTATAATTGTGGCTAATAAGGAACATATTAAAATGAACATTTTTGTGTCTGGCATTCAGCTTTAAAATTTTGCTTGTAGTCTTGAAGAAACGTTGACAACATCTGTCTTTTGCAACTTATATAAAATGTGTGACACACGCACACGCACACACACGCACACACGTTGTTGGACCCATCCACAAAGGAACTTAATGTGAAGTCCAGCACTTAGAGGAAACCTATACAGTCACAGGAAGACAATACACACTCCATGCAGTGTCCCTGTTTGGAAACATTCTCCAGGTTCTTGAATTGCAAGGCAAGAGAACTAATCACTAGGCTAACATGAAAATATTCTTCACTTTCCACTTGGCAATAACCAAAGTTGGAGAGTTTTTCATAGTGTACAGCTGGTAGTTCAGAGACCTTTAGAAGAGATAGGACTTGAGCCACATACAAATATACATTGTACTGTGATAAGCCTTTTGATAAGCCTTAGGCGCCATCATAAAGTTTAGCAGTTACTCTCCAAAGATAATTTTTTTTTTCATTTTATCCTAAAACACAAGCAGTCAGAGGTATACCTACCCTAGAATTAAAACATTTTAGATATGTATCGCAGATTAGTCTATCAGCCTGTTAATTAAAATTAGATTGTGTTTTTCATTCTGTCTGTAATGTCTGTTCATTGTGTATTAATGACACACTTAACTCACTGTTACCTAACCTTGTGCCAGACCTGTCTTTTTAAATGTCGCTAACATAACTTGTCATTGTTCTATCCTTTTTAATGTGCACGCATTGTCATCGTATTGTAATTCTGTTTTGTTGAAGTATAAATGCTTAGGCTTTGACATATATAAAGGTGAGACAAGTGTATCGTAACCTGTTTCAACAGTTTATTGTAGTCAGACCCGAGAGAGGTGGTTTCTGACAGATGGCTAGATTTTGCTTCATTAAAGGCATATGTATATTAACAAACTGGTCAACTAAGATTTCAATGTCTAATTCCAGTCCAAATGGTTTTGTTTTGGATAGAGAGGGAAGGGATGGAAAATGTCAAGTTTTTAATGCGGTCCTTGGCCATTGGTCAGGAAGTTAGAGGGGATATCCCCAATGGGGTAAAGGACGGTAGAAAAAAAAAAGTCCAAAATTTAAAGCCATTTTCCACTTTACTAAATTAAGTGCTTGAATTGTCTATCTTTGTTGGGGAGACTTTCCTTACTCTTAGATACATACAGGAGATGAGGGTAATCTCATAGACTTCAATATGGCTGACAGAGGTATAAACTATTTCCCACTCTTATCAAAAACGCTAAAAAATTTTAAAGTCTAATTTATAAACATTTTACTGAAGCAAATTAATTGAAAGTTTTTACTATATAATATATCCTTAGTATGTAAATGTATATCTGTTTAACAATGAAGTATAGATATGAGTATTTTTGCATAGTTACAATGGTCCGTCCCTGACAAATGTAAGCAGGTTTCTGCCACACTTAGCTGATCCCTGTGGAAGCTTGAAATTAGACTAGGAGGCACCACTACTCCAGTGATCCCCGCTAGCTTCTGGATTCCGTGCTGAGCAGCTGCTCTGCTGCTTAGTGAATACAGGAGGTTGCTCACTCGGCATGGGCTCCATTCAGAGAACACTTTGCATTTACTAAATGAATGCAAAATGTTCTCTGATTTGATGAGGTGCAGAGGCCAGGTGGTGATGTCAAAATCTGCACTTCTTCCAATCAGAGAACACTTCACATTTATTGAGATAATGCAATGACCTGTAGTGGTGATACTAGGCATGGCATATGTATACATACTTTGTTCCAAGCTGGACCAATGTAAATATGCAAATTATCCTTCTAAACTTCAGCTTTAATAAAAAAAAAAAAACAATTTTTTGTTATATTGGACACTGCTAGTTTTAAGGTGATACAAGTTTTTCATTTAATATACCACTGGCAAAAAGCCATGGGAGGTTATTTTTTTATAAAGCACTAGGTAACCTACAGCAGCCAACCACAATGCACCTTACATTGATCTGGCTACAGGATCTAATTCAGATTTGCTGAATTGAATTACATAACGTGCACATCTTCCCCGGCACTTGCTGGATAAGCCTCATATAGAATGCAGGTGAATTGTCAACTTTGAGAGGAAAGTAAGATCACATTCCTATTCAGCTTATATTGTCCCTGTTATGACAGTGCCCCTTATCTGCCAGGTGACATCTAACTGCTGGTGTAAAAACAAGTTTGGAATTTTATGTTCCTTTAGTGGCTTGAGTTTGAGAGAGACTGATTGTTATGGGAAGCTGAACCCATAGAACTAGCAATTAACATGCATGAAACCAACATTGTTGATTGGATTGTCTTTAAACCATCAGTTGTCTGGCTCAAATTTTCTCCAGACTTTTACTGTTGCATAACATTTTTAAAATCTTAAAGTGAAACTAAACTCATTGCTTTAATGGTTTTCCAAAATGATAAATGTCACAGTTGCTTATGCTATCAGCTGAACTGTCTACACATTTAATGGCTGGTGTCATAACTGCCCACGGGATGAAGCCACAGGAAAGTGAAACTAAAGTAAATGTGTCTGCTGCAAAAGGTCACTTACTGGACCTTTGGCGCACTTCATTGTCCTTCGAGGCCAGGGCCCCCTTATTGGTGGTGGTCATCCAGACAAACCTGCACAACAGGCCTCTTCGCATTCATCAGCTCCCTGCTGTTTTATCCATGGGGCGGCTTTCTCACTGGATGACCGCTAGGCAGCAATCTCCTTAATGACCAGCCTAATGCACTGTTCCCCTCTCAACAGCCTTTGGTGAGTTATGCCATTTATGTCCACAGTTCGCACACTAATACAATAAATATTACAATACAAGAGATCAGGTTTATGACGGTAATAAGTATACTAGAGCTATATAAATCCTGTTACAATGCTAGTAATGATTTCATTTTTTCCACCTTCTTCCTTTCTCTTCACAGGAACGAAATAATTGTCTAACAGACTCGAGAGGTTTGAGTGCTAGTCACACTGACTTGGCTCATTAAGGTTCATGCAGATCAACTAGCTAGAACGCCTTTCATCGAAGACGCACTGAGACACTCTAAAACTTATAAAACTGGCTTGTTTGTGCTTGTGCTTGAATACAGGTTGAACTTTTTACTTTTCTAAAAGGGTAAAAGAAGAAGATAGATTTTTAAATTAGTGTAACTAGTATTTTTTTTTCTTCTTTTAAATGGAACATTTTATTTATAGATGTGTATGTATATATCAATTGCTGCTTGCACCATTGTCCGTAGAAATGTAATATATACCTTACAAAATAAGTGGGTCACTGTTACACCAGCCAGCCAAAGGGCGGAGAACGGGTACTGGTAACTTCGTAAATGGAAATGGACTAAATGCCTGAAGAGCACTGGAGACAAAAAAAATATATTGTCTGTAGATATTTATTTGCATGTTTTACTTAAAAGGAGTTTTGCCCAACTCTCAAAATGCATTATTATTGTGTGAAAAGGAAAAATAATAGTGACCTTGCTGACTTGTTACACTCACACCGGCAATTTAGGCCAGTAAGAATTGTTGAGGCAAAATCTTCTGATTTCTGCTGCGGCTCTGAACAGCCAGGTCCGTTCGCCGGCTTCGTTCACTATAATAACAGGTCGCCTGCAGGCACAGCTATTTGCTGTTGGATGCACTGTGTGTGTGTCCAGCGGTCACTGCAAGTAATTGCTGGCTGTGCTGACAACTGTGAATACCTGCGGCCGCCAGCCACCTGTTGTTATAGTGAATGGGGCAGTGGCCGCACCTAGCTGCTCAGAGTCATTACAAGAGTCACAAGATTTCTGCTGCTACAATTTGCACCATCCTTAATTGGTGTCGATGCAGCCTAAAAATGCTAGTTGCCTGGCTGGAATTCTGACTTTCGGCCTTCTGCTTTGAGTCACTGAAGATTATGGAAGTCAGACGTCTCTCTCTGTACACATGCTCTAGGTCAATTGCATATTAAGCATCTGAAACATCATGACACCAAGCTGCTAGCATTGTCAGGAGAGGTCAGTGTTGAACACATTTCTATTGTGACAAGTTTTGGTTAAAGCCCACTTGAAGTCACAAGTAGTTGCAATATGAGTAGTAATAAAAAAAAAGTTTTTTTTAATCTAGGCTTGCCTCTAATTTCTTATTACAGCAATTGTGCAGGGCATCTAATTTTGACTGTGCAGTATACTAAACACCAGAGATAGACCCAGTGCACTCTGTAATCAGATCTCAGTAGCAGTAGGGATCAAAAACAGCCTCTTCCCTTCTCTGCAAAACTGAGGAGACTTGTGCCCTATAATTTAGCATAAAGCACTGCAAAATGAGAGCAGGAGTTTGCATTTGCACTTAGAGATAAAGCTTTTGCAAAGATAAATTGGTCACAAATCATAACTTGTGGGGTACAAGGCTATACAAAGTTGTAAGAATCCAATTGGGCTTTAAAAGAAAATTCTGTCTTAAAAGAATCCATCGAGACTTTGGTCATCTGACACCGCCTGACGTTAGATCCAGGCCTAACCAGCATCACTTAGTTAATGTTCATGAAATGCAGTGCTGGAATACAAACCCACTTCCAGGAGCAGGACACTAGGGGCCTCCGGTCAGAGATGGGGACCATCAGCTGTGGCAGGTGACTGTAATGTGCAGTACACCCTTTGCACTAAGTGAAGTGTGTAACTGTCGTTGCCAGCCTCCTTACAATTCTATTTGGCGGTGGTTGTTTGACTCACCAGACACTTCCGTGACGTCAGAACCTATCCGCATACTTGTTCAGTGACTCGGTCATAGCACTTGACATTGCAACCAGGAAGCTAGCATTTTCAGTAGGAGCAAATTGAAATGGCAAGTTACATCATTAATGCTCTATGGGTAAGTACCATTCAAAGTGAAAATGTAGTCATTGTAGTATACAGGATTAGACACTATAGAGGAATTTGACATGCAAGGAAGGTAAATGGCATCTTATGACCTCTACAGAATCTGAAACTACACAGCTCCTTAAGCTTCCAGTCTGGAACTGTTTATAACTTTTAGGATAGTATTTTTTTTTTTTTTTAATGCAACATTGACTGTTACAAATAACTTTGAAGATATATGGAGACCAAGCAGTTTTCAGAGCTGCAAATATATCTATTTATACAGTTTACACTATATAAGAAAATGCTGTTATTAACGCACTTCAGCAATAAAAGCCACAGCAAAGCAAGTTTGTCACCTAAAATGATATCTTTGCTTAAAGGGAACCTGTGCTGAGGAATTATCTGTCACTGCTGGCTTCTGCCTGTTGTGCCAAGCTAATGGCTTTGGTAATTTTGAAGTTTCGGATGTGCATGCTTCTTCCATACTGGTGTTTTAGAAAGTATTGAAATCAGAAACCACAAGAAAACTAGCACTTGGTGATGGAGGTCAGCAGTGGTACCCCCTTGTTTTAGGGCTCATTTATACTTGCTTTGCCTTTATTAAAGCGCCCACCGCTTCAACATGCTTTTTTGAAGCTTGGCAAATGCTCTGTGTATGTTGCTTTCGATTTGTTTTAAAGGGGCCCAGTGGGCCCCTGGATCAGTAGTACCCCCACTCAGCAGATCCCCGGGCTTATTAGCACCTTCATTCAGCAGATCCCCCGGCTTATTAGCACCGGCGTTCAGCAGATCCCCCGGCTTATTAGCACCGGCGTTCAGCAGATCCCCCGGCTTATTAGCACCGGCGTTCAGCAGATCCCCCGGCTTATTAGCACCGGCGTTCAGCAGATCCCCCGGCTTATTAGCACCGTCGGTCAGCAGATCCCCCGGCTTATTAGCACCGTCGTTCAGCAGATCCCCCGGCTTATTAGCACCGTCGTTCAGCAGATCCCCCGGCTTATTAGCACCGTCGTTCAGCAGATCCCCCGGCTTATTAGCACCGTCGGTCAGCAGATCCCCCGGCTTATTAGCACCGTCGGTCAGCAGATCCCCCAGCTTATTAGCACCGTCGGTCAGCAGATCCCCCAGCTTATTAGCACCGTCGGTCAGCAGATCCCCCAGCTTATTAGCACCGTCGGTCAGCAGATCCCCCAGCTTATTAGCACCGTCGGTCAGCAGATCCCCCAGCTTATTAGCACCGTCGGTCAGCAGATCCCCCAGCTTATTAGCACCGTCGGTCAGCAGATCCCCCAGCTTATTAGCACCGTCGGTCAGCAGATCCCCCAGCTTATTAGCACCGTCGGTCAGCAGATCCCCCAGCTTATTAGCACCGTCGGTCAGCAGTTCTCCTGCTCAGTAGTTCCCCTAGCTCTGCTTATCCTGCATTTAGCAGTAACCCTCAGCTCTGATGATGCTCTGGTTCGCTGATCCTCTCTCTGGTCTACACTCACCTCTTGGTATATTGCTCCCATGCTGCACACCACGTGAGACATTGCTAGTTTCTCCTGCTCCGGTCTGTCAGCTCTTCTGATCCTCCACCACTCAGTCCTCTCTCCGGTCCCTGCTCACCTTCTGCTATAGCATTCCCATGTTGCACACCATGTGTGCCGCTCCGCTCCATGCTGCACAGCAGATGTGACGACTGCACCAGACAGTTCCATAATATATACACATGAACCAGAAGTGATTGCTGATGATGTCTTTCCGGTTCACTTCTTAGTTTCCCAATGCATCCTGGGATATCTCATACCTGCAATACCTCCAAAACAAACCAAATAAAAGTGTCTCACAAGCTGTAGCCATAGACTTCTATGCTATGGAGCACCAAGAAAACAACATGCGATATAATTTTTTGAAGCAAAGCAAATGAAACGTGTGAACAGGACTGTAGCTTACCTTGCTTTAGTGACCGGTGCTTTGATTGGCATAGTGCTTTAAAAAAAAAAAAAAAAAAGCATGCCCAATGCCACATTTTAAAGCAAGTGTAAACGAGCCCTAACTGTTCTGACAGATATATTTCCAGAGTAAAGAATGGTAAGGGTACATATACACTAACGTGGTTCCTACTATTGTTAATAATCCTTTTGCCTTTGTTGGTGTGATACCTTTGGGCAAATGTTTTGCTGTGACCATCATAGCATGATGTAGACTGGTAAAAGCATGTGTTTCATATCCAATAACTGTATAGAAATATATGGTAAACATATATTGTATGTAAAATATATTCAAAACACATAAAAATGCTCTGTGGAAAATTAAAGTGGAACTCCGGACAAATGTCTAAATACACAATTAAAATACTGTGATTTGTACCTGCCAAAGGCTTTGTAATTGTCATCCAGTTTTATTATCCAGATGCCCCTGCTAGGTGGCAGTGTCAGGCTGATGACCTCTATTTTCTCTGCTGTAGTTTAGCAATACATTTTGGTCACCCTCTTGCCTCCAGCCTTAGATTGGACAGCCAAGGAGAATGCACACTGTTGTTGTCATTATTCTGCTCCCCCCTCCTGTCTGTATGTTCGAAGTTATGACTGACTTTCAGCAAAGAGGAACCACCTTGATTGGCTTAATGTGTACTACTCTTCCAGTGTGAGTGCTGCAGTTAGGTAGACTACAAGAGGCTGGTTTTGGGACAGATTTTATCTATTTTAATTCTCTCTAAAAATGTTTTTTTTTCTTCTCAAATGAATATGTAAATGGGCCAAATTGTGTGTTTTATCATATCTGCCTGAAGTCAAGCTTTAAATTGAGTTATGGAATATATTTAATGTTACTAAACTGCACGCACATGTACATACCCCAAATGTTTCATTCATTTTGAATGATTTGGCACAACTGTGCATCGGGTAAATGTTTATAAATGCTCTACCATTTTATTCTATTATAGGTCAGATATATTGTATATGGTTATATACAAAACAAAGACATATGCATTTGTTTTTTTTGAGATGTGAAGTACACATGCGGTTCATTGCAAACAATAAACCCCTTATATCATAATGCATAAACCCAGCTTACCATATGTGTGGTTTTTTTTTTTTTTTTTGTTAGGTTTTTCAGTTGTGTGTTTACACACTCCTTTTCTCCTTTTTAAAAATGAATATTTGAAA